TTTGTTATTCTTATTTAACAGTTTAAGAGAAAGAAGGAAGACGTCTTGCCGAAATCATATTCAGTACATGATTCGATTTTTTTGTATTGTGACCTATTCTCAGTTATTTTTTATCCTATTGGAGGATAAATGTAACCTTTTACGGAAAACACTGAATTCATGTTTTTTTTTGTTTAAAGGAATAAACTACTTTTAATTAGATGGTGAAGATTTTCCAAATATTTTGTACTGTTGACTGTCTCTGTCTGACTTATCCACAAAGCAATGAATTCATTTATCTTAAATACATCTATAAACTGGTGTAATGACATGGGCTCTAAGTTCAATACCACATCTAGTTTCTCGTGAGCTTAACACTATCCCGAACATTCATGGATCCCATCAACATACTTATCGCACACCTCTTCACTTTTCTCACTTCACTCACGACTTTCCCACGACTCGACAAATCGTCATGGATTGGTGCAGGACATGGGATTACCATGAAACACAGCACTCCAACTTTCTAGGCTTTTCGTTTTCTGTTCGCTTGAGGAAAATAAGAGCAAAGAGATAGACCGCTCGACTTCTATCTCAGTGCCTTTAGGATGCGCCATGTTTTTGGCTAAGCAAGCACTGCAGAAGTGTTTGAACACATATTTCGCTTGAATAGTCACTTCCAGGAGATAACTGATGTATTATGACGATGTTCTTATCCTAGAAAAGAAGTCTGATTCAATTTCACCAAGCTCCAAGTAACTAAAGGTCGAGTAGCCAAAGGCAAGGAATCGTATTGTGAAAAATGTGATTAACTACGATTCTGCTGCAAGACGACTTTAAATAATTCTCTGTATGCGCTCTTACTGGAAAAATACTGTAAGGGATGCGTTAACTAATTGAGTTAAAGAAGCAGTTCGCTTGAAATGATTTCGTTTCGTTGAAGAAATTAAGCCTAGCTTGAGACGGCAGTCTATCCTTAGCATGTTCGCGGCCTATTTCCATTACAGCAATCATTTTGGTCGGAGGTTCAGTGGGAAGTGGCTCGTCCGCCGGTCGCTTATGTTGCCATGTGGTCTTCATTGTTTGTTCTTGCAAAATAGTGTCTTGATAACCCTCTTTAGTGGGGCTTCGTGCCCATAAAAAGGAAAGATTATGCATTTTGCAGTTGTTTTTATCGATGAATCTTTCCGAGCTTTAACCACGTGCCTCTGTCGTTCCCTAATGAACCAATAATAATCTCTTTTTTGTAGTACAATTTAGTAGTGCTAGTGATGTAATATCGGCATGACCTGTATCTTTCAAGATTACTTCTAGTATTGGGTTTTCCATCGAAACATTTTCTCTCACTTTAAAACTGATTTTAAGTGTTGTTAGAGGACTCGGAAAAGCTGTCTTAGTTGGAAGAAATACAACGGCTAAAAGTTTGTAGATTAAATAGAACTGTCTTTTTTAAAACACTGTTGATTATTTTCTTTTGTGTAATCGGTCAGCAGAGCAGTTACCCACTTTAATACGATTGATCCAAGTTATCATTATATCATTGTTTCCTTCGTAAAAAAAATTCTTATCACACCGAGGTGGAGTGATTTTTTCCAAAGCACATGAAAAATCTCTTCTCTTTTGTAGGATACGGACGAAAAGCTTTTCTCTGCCATGTTTAGCTAATTATTAGGTGAGCTCGATGAAATTTCCTTGTTCATAAATTGTTAAACCTCATGAAGTATTCATACTTTCTCAGATCTACATGATGTTATTAAGTTTATTTCATTTCTGTCAGTATTTCGAGCAAATGAGTTCCTTAGGACTTGAGCGTAATCAGTCGATATCACATTCATCCTATCAAAAGTTACTGGTCACAAAAGTATTCGAAATATTCAAAGCACATTTTATAGTGCGGAAACATGGAAGAGAACATTTCAGACCCAATCACCTTGAGAATTTACAGTTGATGGTTAGTTGAGCGCTCCGCACTTATCTCATAACTGAAATAATGTCGATCCTTGATCAAAAGTCTACGAAATTCTCCAAGTTTTTCGTTTCTCTTACAAATGCTCTCACCTATGATTAAATATCGAACGATGCAGCTATAATCTGATAACAACAACGATGCTGAGGTGTTCGTAAAACTTGGACCAACGGCCACATCGAAGCACGATGACCCTTTCCGGGAACTAGCGCATTACACACTTTACCACTGAGACTCTTGCTTTGCGTTTTTCTCAGCTATTTTTCTAGTTAACGGTGCCATCGGCAATCAACTAGAAACACAAACCAAAGGCGACAGTGGTGCAGTGTGTAATACGCGAGCACATGTAGAACGTAGCCGTAGTTCGCTCTGGCCAAGCGTTCAAGTTTTAAGAATATATCAGCATCGCTGAGGTTGTATTTCGAATCACACCTTGCCGTAAAAAACTATAGTAGGTAGCAAATAAAAAGTTAACATTATAATCTTGCATATATAACTGCAAGACTGAGTAGATTACTAGTTCATCGAGGCTAAAATGTGTACCCCTCCCAACGGTTTACCGCCTCATCGTAACTGGGAGGTGTTCCTGGGTGTCGGACTGCGATGTACAGCGGGTGATTCTGTTAACTGGCAGGGTCTCCCAACCTGAGAAAGGGTTAGGCGTTTTTATCAGAAAGCTTAGCTAAGAGTAAACCAATGCCAGAATCCATCACCGTCCTGGTATCAAAGTCGCGTAGTGGCAAATCTCTCTCTGACCCACAAGTGCTGCGACTGCCTGTCGTGGTGACGATCTGGGGCAAACTTTGGCCAGGCTGTCCTCGGGATCCCACGAAGCCACAATGGCTTAACCAGCAAATCTCCGAAAAATGATGACTATGCTAGGGGCCGCACAATTACTGAAGACGGGCCGTTCAAGTATCAAGTAAAATGTCTACCAAGATGCCATTTCTGGCCAAAACCATCCAAATCGTGAACTATTTCGACATGTTCACCATCCGAAAGCACGACCTTAGTAAATAATCATGCCATCCTTGAAGAAGTCGGATGGTAAGATGACAATCCTGAAGTCGATCGACACATGTTGACGATAGGTCGTGGTCATGGCAGCTTGGGAGTGCTCTATCGTTCCTATCATGGGGCGTAAATGGACTAAAAACTTGTCTTATCAGCAAAATAACACCAGTTAAACGGAAATTATCTTTCGAATACGCATGATTCTCTCGCTAAAAAGGATCATTTAAGCTGAGACCTACTCGAATCAATTACTTTCTTTCAATTTTTCGTCTTCTTTTTATAAATCGTAAGACAAGATCCAGGATTATGGTAACCAAGGGTCCGTAACGCTCATTTCATGATGCTGACGAGCAACCAGTTATTCTTTTGTTTGCTTCTCTAAGAACTCCATTACTGAAGCTCTACGGGCACTCGGTTTCTTATCGATTTTTCGTTATTTTTGCCTCAGGCGCCGCGGCCTTGCCTGTTGGAGTTGCGTTTCGTTAGATTTTAGTTTTCTGTTGTCACCGAAGAGTTTCTGCAGAATGTTTCTAATAAGCTAGGGATGTAAGAATGTGATTACATAAAGTTCCTGATTCGCTGTTTTCCTATGAAAGCCTCGTTGCGAATTTTCCTATAGGTTATATTTCTATGAATAGCTGTTCATACGGAGTGCTTGCAACGTCTTTTGGGGAGTAAACTGGAACCCGTTAAGCTTTATTATTATGCAGTCCGGCCGGCAATGCGAATTTAGTAGAGGATCTATGGAGTTAATGCTCATGGCTTCGTACTCTGTGGATAGAATACGAAAACTATCTCTAGTTGGAATTCATAGCTCAACAATTTAAATAATTTTACAGCAGTATTTTGTGAAACTCCTCTCTGCTTCTGCTAGCTTTTGGTAAAGTTCCTAATTTTTTCACTACACGCTTGTCTAGACAGCCTGCTAAAAGCCTCACATTTCCATCTCTATTGATTTTTTACATTTTTCTTTTTTAAATCGTTTTCGACAAACCCAAATCAAATCTTTTGTCAATAAATCGATAGTTCAATTTTATATCACGTCTTCTTGAATTCAAGACAAAAGAGAACTATAACTCGTTCGGAGGTGGTGACTTTTTGAAGATAGTGGTTTTTTTTGATGACGTTAAGAATCATTTTTCTTACGGTTTCTTTAAGAACATAACATAGACAACGTTGACCAAAAAGTAGTTCGGATTGGTACCACATTTAAAAATCTCAACGATTTCTATCACTATGCGCCGCGCGTGGGTCGGTCGTCGAGGATCACTTCGCCCTTTTGTTTGTGTAGTATCTCTTCAGCTACCGTAATCTGAATCGAAGACCACCAAGCTTACAGCCGTTTTCCGTCACTGTGTTTACACGACGAATTATTTGCTGACACTACTACGTCGCTAACTTCAACATCACCTCATTCGCTCTCTTCGTCTCTCGTTCATTCTTTTTTTTTGCCTGCAGTTGCTAATCGCTTTGTGAGGAATCCGCCGAGAACTTTTTTCTACTTTCATTAATACTCTAAAAGCCATTATAAGTTGTACAAACATAGAAAGGAAACATCGCCTTGAAAAATTTATAATTTTCGTATTTCAATCTCTGGTATTCCTTTGTAAATTTTCTTTTCGAAATGGTATCCATGGCACCTCTCCTATTTGAACTATGGCCCTGGAAGCTGTAGTGACTTGTATAAATACAAAAGAGTAGGAATTTTGCAGCAAGAATTGCAGTTTTTGGTTTGCTGATCTGTTCGTTTTTTACAAGACTTCTTTCTAGAAACAGTCGTTAAGCGTTGAAGCAAATTTTATTTCGGATTTAAAATTGCTCTAATTGAGATATACAGAATTCTACTTCTTTATATGAATTGCTAAACAACCAGCAAAAGCAAAGTGAAATAATGTGTGGAAGAAATATGGTTAAAAAACAAATTTTAGGAAGAGTTTTTGTTATGGTCTTGGAAATTTAAACAAATTTCAACAGAGAAGCCAAAATATGAGTCATCTGAATTCTAACCTCAGAAGAAAACGCACTCAAATTCCACTTCCAGATGGTTCGTGGATGCTTCTGTGATTGTTTCGGGCCGATGTCACGAGAGAGGGCGGAAAGCCTGGATAAGCCACTCGATCCTGAAGACGTTAGGAAATGTCTGCAAAAATACCGAGAATACGAAGCCAGACAAGAAATGATGGTCAGTCGTCTTTTTTTTTTCTTCATCGATGTTCCCTAATTGAAATCTGTTCACGAAAATGCGTATTACTCAATAGACAGACAAAATGGAAAACGTTTCTATGGCCAATTCTTTAAGTTTATTGCTATTTAAACTGAATAAATTGCCCAATATCTTAGAAATAATTTTGGTGACAGCTTTAATAAGAAAAATATTAACTCAATACAGAGCCTACCGTAACAGTGAGAAATCTCTACTCCTGTTTTTACTTACTTGCTTGGATATTTGGATGGCCCTTCCTCACTGATTGTGCGAGCCTCGGCAAAATTTCCACTTTTTCGGAGTTTTGCTGGTCTAACCATTGTATTTCACTGGTGTCCCGATGTCAACCTGGCCAAAGTCCGTCCCAGGCCTTCACCACCACAGGCCGTCGCCGTCCTTGTGGATGTGTTTTAATGGACCCACCTATTTCCAGTAGTTACTATTTAACTATTCAGTAAATACAAAGTAGCTAAACAACCAAAATAAAGCATTTATTAAACGACAAAATTTGAAGTTTTTTGTGAAAATATTAGAGCTAAAATAGGAATATTTTCAATAAGACAGTGACTATTCGATGTTATGAAGTTCGATGAAAAAAATTGATCACATATATTTTACACATTGTTTCTTTTTCCTTCACAGAAACAAAGACAGTTTTAATAGTGTTCTTTGTTATAAAAAAAAAACTTAATAGAAATACGCATTAGATTTTAAAAATGCATAAAAGCTTTTAGGTTCACGATCAACAACGTCCCTTGATCTCAACCATAAGCGAATCACGAGCAGCCCCTTACGATGATACCGTACTACCGAGCTCTCCACCGATTGTGAGTTCCACGATAAATCTCCATATCAGAAATCAATGAAGAACCTTCTTGTTCCTAGCGACCTCATATGAAAATATTGAAAATCGGTGCTCTTTCACTGACATTCATCACTATCATTTAATTTTCGTTATTCAGATTTTCTATACTATTACCACCCGCGTTTTCGATTCTGTAACTGTTTTTTAGGATTTAAATTATTTTAAAACATAAATGAAAACATAAATATCGTTTCTCTAGCAGAAAGCCACGTAAATAAAAGGATAAAAGAGTCAAGCTCTCGACGTTGGTCAATCCTTGAGGAATGCGCCATGCATTCGACTCCATTAAGCCATCGTTCAAGGTGATTGAATACATATCTGGCCTTTACAGTGACTCGCAGTGGTCTAACAGTGCATCAAGCCAGTGCTAATATCCCCCAGACAAGTTTGGTACCACTTGCTGATCCCGAAAGGATGGAAGGCATGGTGAGCCACGGGCGCGGGGATCGATCCCATATGTGTCGCAGGTCGCCTCCAACCACTGCGCCACACACTCCCTGCTACACGAAAACATTTAGCTAATTTCATAGCGGCCAAAATGTTATGCAGAGCATGGAAATTTAGATAAAAAATCTATATTTTTTATAACTAAGCAACTTTTTTAGCTTTAAGGTGATATCGCTTTTTCTTTTCTATGTCTTAAAATGGTTGCTTATAAATGCATCGCTTTCTTGTTCAGCAATCGCCAGGTTGTTACACAGTATATATATATATGTGCATATGTATATGTGAGCAAATATATGTGTATATACGCATATATATATATATATATATATATACATAACCTCGCGAGTGCTGAACAAGAAAACGACGCATTTATAACTCAATGCCGTAGTTAATAAAAAGTCGTTCCTAGGATAATTTGTTTGTGTAATCACTTTTTAAAAAATACGAACATAATCACTTTTTATTTACTTCCTGTTATTTTTTCACAAAAGGATATGATGTGATGTATGCACAATGATTCTGAGATATTTGCAAAACTCCGAACCGCAGGTGTCTACGACGGGAATCGAGCAAGCTACAACCCTTTATGGAGGTTAACACGTTCACCACAGCAAGCCACGGATCCTTCGTTTCGCGTTTCTATCAGCCATGTTTTACAGGTGCTATCAGTAATCACCCGCCCAGGTGATTGATCTGGAAAGCGCAAATCGGTATTGAACTCAGTTATGATGAAACAGTACCCTACCCAAAAAGCTTAATACCGAGGCAATTTTGCAAATATCTCAGCGTCATTGAGACACTTCTGTTTTTAGCATACCCTTCAAAAAAAAAAGAGAAATGGTTGTCAAAAAAAGAGTTTGGTGCAGTGTCTTTCTTACTTTTCCTTTTCGCTATCGCTTCATGGATCGATCTAGAAGATAGTTTTCTGGACTGATTAAGTTTACAAGTTCAGAATGTTGGCTATCGTCCACCGTCACCACCACCATCGTACAGTTCGGTAGCCGGTAGTATTGGTCCAGCCAACACAGGACAATCGCGACTCTGATTGAATGTTGTTGTTGTTGTTCGCTCCTTCTGGTTACTATTTTTTTTGTAATTTTCTTCATTCGGGCAGCATGCGTCGCGTCTCCGCCATTCTACAAAATTATGAACTTCACTCACTCTTCATTTGCTTAGATGTATGCTCAAATACGCAAGCATATACAAACATTCACACACGTACACACGTACACACACACACACACATACACCCATACAATGCAAACCAACTCGTATACACACAAAAACCCACATAGAGACATATATCTATGTGCTCGTGTGTTTATTTCATATGTGCCTCAACTCATAAGAGTAATGTCATGTCGGTAATGTATCTGCAGAACTCGGTGAACATAGAGTTTCTTTTTCAGAGCAAAAGTTTTAAATAGATTTCTACCTAAGATTAATGTTTTGCAAACTTATGAATTTAGGCTGTAACTTCTACTTATCGCAATTCACAGAATCTCAAATGAATCAATTCTAGTCATGAACCGTTCCACTTTAAGCGCTTTAAGTAAGCCAAGATAAGAATAACAGCGCAGAATTTACGACTCTGGTTTTGATTTGTTTCTTTCGGAATGACGTCAGCTGAGTGAATCTAGTCAAGTGTACATAATGCCATATGTTTTTACTTTGTTCTCATAATGCTTGTTGTCAATAAATGTATTCGCTTATTTGTTTTTGAAAATCTAAACGGGGCAATTAGTACTGTTGATTCGTTTGTGTTTAAAGCATCATTTATAGCGTAGAGTAGTAGATAACTCAAGGACTCGTCTTCACATTTTGTGGTGGTCCCTACCCTTTTTCCTCTAGTTGCGTTGTTTTATGTTGCAGCTCTCACATACAGAGGTGATCGAATTAGTGTATAATTTTGACTAAACATCTTAACCCGTGATTCACAGTGATGTTCCCTCTGAAACCAAAGACAGACTAGACTGTTCGTATGTCGTCACCGTAATTTGCCACGAGGTTCTTTGGATCGCTAAAAAAACCTTTACCTTGCGTCCCGAATTGTTCCAGGACGGCAGTGATCGGATAATCCTGAAATTAGTCCGAGTCGACTACATCATTGAAGGTGGTGTAACCAGCAAGCCAAACATTTTATGGAGGTGTGTGAAAAGGATAAAGAATAAAGCCCTAAGCATTGATCAATCCTCGAGGGTTGCGCTGTGCATTCGACTTCATCAAACATCGTTAGAGGTGAGTGGATGCAAATCTAGCCTATACAATGACTAGCGGTGGCCTACTGATGTATCGAGTCAGTGCTGCTATCCATCCATACAGGTCTGGCAGATCTTCAGACTCTGGAAAGATGGAAGGCGGCTCTAAGGCGTAGGATCGAATATTGAAAGGCGCCACCAGCCAGGGCGCTACATGCGTTGCTTACCGATACATACATGGAAATAACTTGCTACAATCGATTTTCAACCCTCTTAATGTAATGCACATTTAGGTGTTTGCAAGTTTTTCACCGAATAGACGTTTATATTAAAGCGTGAAAAATATAGTATTAAGCGTTCCGAATTGTTCAATTCCTCAGGGGGTTTTTGTGCACTCGACTTGAAGCATCGACCATCGAACCAATCGAACGCGTATTTGCCTTCTAGAACGACTTGCGGTTGACTGCTGATAGAACAAACCAATGTTTTTCACTCTTGCATACAGTGTCAATCTCACGAACCCCAGAGAAATGAGGTTAGCCTGCGAAAAGGATACAAACCAAGGATTTTGGATTTACCACCTAACTACTGTGCTATATGCATCTTCAACATGCACGTTGTTATCTGCGTATGCAGAAACATGCACAAATATCCATGATTAATCCATCGAACGATTATCACGTTCAGACCTGCACTAAAGGAGAAAAATACATAGGTATATAGTGCCTTTATTGAGGAAAGAGAAGTTGACTCCTGGAGACGCCAATTTGTGACCCGAATGTGCAGGCTTGCGCCTACCCAACTTGTGATCACTCCCTTCTTAAAAATTATCAGTGACTTTAACGACGATTATCTATCTGGCGCATTTCGCTTATGAAATCCATTGCATTTTTTGCTGAAAACTGAAAGATCTTTCGTCAACTTCTGTCAGATATCGTGATAACAGTTGTGAAATAAGTTATTGTAGTTGTGTCATTAATCGTTCGTGAGTTGGTTGTTTTTAGTAAAAAGGTGGGTTTCATTTCAATTCCAAGAATCGGTTATGCTGCCGTGGAGGTTAACTGTGGTCATACTAGGTAATTTATTCTTTTCTGATTTTGATAGTTTGGATTTTCTTACATATTAGTTCACATCAATCGTGAATGAAGTGCAAAAAAACATTACCAAGGCGGTTTACAGCCTGACAATGAAATATGACACTCTCATAGAAGGAAACGATCCAAAGTTTTTTCTTCCACTCGCATTACAGCCGCTTGATAAGTAAACTCTGTCATGAAAAAAACGGGTAACTGAAGGAAGTTTTACGAACTTGTTAGATTAGCTGGTAATGGCGCAGAAGTTTTCCTTACGAACTGCTCATATTGAGCTGATGCGAGGTTGGTATAGACTGTCGTTGTTGTTGTTGTTGCTGTGGTTAGATGGTTTTGGCGACTCCGCCTTCATTAGAGCCTAGGCGTTTTTATGTAAAGCCAACGTGTAAAATAAAAAGAGCTCGTAAGAACATATATACATATAAGGTTTATAGGAAATATTACTTTTGAGTATTTTGCCTACAGATTGGGTCGTTCACTATCACGTAAGAGCTAAGAGATCTATGACAATTAAGATCTTTAAACACGTTATTGACACGACTAGTAATAGTTAGCGAATTAGCCTAACCTACCGGTTACTAGGTAGACCGTCTTTTTCCATTAGTAGAGAATTGTGGCAGGGGATGAACATCTCTTTGAGGAGTCAACGATTTGGCAGTACTATTTTGTGCAAATGGCAAGAAATAACAAAGACTTTTAAACTGATCACTATCGAGCTGATCATGCTGCCATAAAGACAAAAATATTTGCATTGTCGTATATGTTGAGTTCCATTCTAAATACCGTATTATTTGAGTCACCACGTATTATTTCCATAAGCGTTTTGATGATGTGCCCTCTTTCAGCAACAAGGCTCAATGTCATATCATTGTCTACCCTTGAGGAGCATTTGCGCTTGGCTAGGATCAGCATAACAATACGTGACGCAGAATGCTATTGTAAGTTTGTCACTGGAAGAATTTTTTTAGTTGTTTTCTATTTAATGCGACCCTTATGGTGTGTGTGTGTCTGTGTGTGTATGTGTGTGTATGTGTGAGTGTTTGTGTATATGTGCGTGTGTGTGTGTGTTTACATGAAATTTTTGAAGCCAACGTTGCAGTGTGCGCTTGCTAAAACTTCCTTGTCCACATACTTCGTTGATGTTTTGTACCGTCTTCGCTGCACTACCTCCAAGTTTTATTTCGTAAAATAGGATCTGTCAAATCACTGCTTTGAAATCTGATATTCTAGCCTTTAAAATTCTCTAAAATACTTTTTGTATTAGCAGAGAACAAAAGGACATAAAGTAATCATCTCGTTTTTTATAATCCAAAATGAAGTAGAGAAGAAATAGGCCAATAATAAACGACAAAAGGGAAGAAAATGCACTCCTCACCTTTAGAAGAGAGATTCGAACTGCACAATGATGCTAAACAACAAATCACAATGTCATACCTTTTTATTTTCTGCCTACTATAATTTCGCGGCAGGGTACTAAGCGAAATTCAACCACAACGTTGCTGAGATATTTGCAAAACTCTGGACCGCAGTCCCGCTGACGGGTGATTGCTGTGGCAAAAGATCGATAGAAATAGCTGAGAGACAGGCGAAACGAAGGACCCGCATGGTGTGGTGGTGAACGCGTTACTCCCCGGAAAGGACAATAGCGCGTTCGTTCCCCACCATAAACACCTGCGGTCCAGAGTTTTCCAAATATCTCAGCAACGTTGTGGCTAAACAACAAAGTGTTGGGCTGCTAGGAAATTCAAAATGAGCGTGGCGCTATGGCCTGAGGCGCTCTGCACTATACATGGTATCAAACCCGTGCTCGAGGCTCGCCATGCCTTCGATTTTTTCGGGGTCGGGAAATTGCTGCCAGACCTGTCTGGGAAGATAGAAAAACTACTCGATATATCGGCAAGCCATCAAGAGTCATTGAATTGGCCAAATTTGCATTTAATCGCTTCTAGTGATAGATAATGAAGTCGATTAGATGGCGCACACTTAAGAAATTGACCAACGCTGAAAGCTTTTGTTATTAATCATACAGAGAAAAAGAAGGTTGAAAATTTGGTTTCGAGTTCTTTTAACTGAACCCTGAAAAATTGAAAATTCACAACCGCTTCGTATAGAGCCAGTGGCTACAATTTTCTGATGATTTCCTATCGTGTGGTCCTTACTATATATCAGTTCATTCTTCCGTAATATCGCTTTCTATCTTAGTTATATTGTACGACTTAAGTTAACCAACGATAATAACCTCGAGTGCTGAGTTGATATATTTTGAATCGGTTACAATACATAGTTTGCTGTTGTATGCCACGCCATAGAGTGAATAACGATGATTAGATCAGTGGCTTGTTATTCACGTAGTTTCGTTGAGCCAGTGAAATGTTTCAGCAGCTCCCACTACGTCGTCGTTCTCAGTTCTGCTAGTTGGACTTGACTTCGATAACCGCCCAATCACCTTGCAGTTTTTCGATAGTACCCAATTTTTTCATGACAAGGCCAGGAGGATCCACAAAGCCGTTGTGAGTATTTAAATCTATAAACTGCACTATACTTAAAAGGTAGCTCCAACAGACTTGAAAAGTTCTATAGCTCTTCCTGTGATACTCTATCCTGATACTTGTGACCACTAGGTATCCATTGATTTCTTATCAGGTTCTGCTGTGGCCTTGGTTCACTCATAGATGGGCTTACGGTAAAATGTGGCTAAGCTCCTTGTCAGTTTCGTCGCCAGTACTCCAAGATGGAACATCGGCTGCACGTCGCAA